TAATAGCAACTTAACAACTAATTTCACAACTAAATTATGCTTCAGTAATCCGTGTGAATGTCAGTCACATCTTTGATTATTTGCATATCCAAGAAATATCCTCTTGACCCTCTCATTGACATGTTTACTTTATGTTTTCTCTTCCCCTTAGTCGCGTCAACTCTTCTTATCATAAAGAAATTAGGCTTTACAATTGCAATTATCCTTTAATTTCTTCTGCTAATCTTGAAGGTACACCATCTCTGTAGTTCTTCAATCTTGATTTTGTTATGCTGTATTTAGAGTATATATATATAATGAAAATGTCTTGGTTTTGTTGTGGATCGCATGACCTTATTTGCAAAGAAGCCTATTTCTCATTAGATTCCTTGTTTTTAAATTGTTTTTGTTTACCCGTAATTAGAAGCTAAGCTACTTGATTAATCTTGTAAATTCTCTCTATTTTTTTGGTACTCAAAGTAAACATAGACATGTCTCCAAGTGATCATATTTGAATCATATGCTTTTCTTCCAGGAAATTTCCATCAACCTCTCTGAACGGCAAGAACTAGGCTTGCAGTTGCGATTTTGTAGATCTGCTGCGTCGTCTGGTTACTTTGGCCTAATTTGGTTATCCGTGTCCAGCGTTCTTCAATTCCTTCTGCTAAACCTGCTGTAGGTATGCTATCTATCTAGATCTTCAATTTTAGATTTCTTCTATTGGTGTACAATTTTGTTACCATAGTTTCTTGCTTTCAATTGATTACTTATCGTTAGTAAACATATAATCCTGTGGTTTCTTGTTTTTGAACTTCTTTGTATTAGAGTTCTTCAATTAGTTTGCTGGTTTCGTTCCCTTGTTGTGTGAATTCCTAAAAAATTAAATTTCATAGACACAACATAATGAAAGTGACACTATATATCCGCTTTCAGTTAATTAAATTGTTTCTTGCATTCTTTTCTTTTTGGGATTAAATTTAACTTTAAGACATTGCTGTCTCACTTTAGGAACTTCATCAATGGAGGCAATCATTGAAATGGAAAAGTATGTGGGGAATTCAGTATTCAGTTATGTAGACTGCCATAGAAAACTTGAAGAAGATATGAGTGATTTGAGAAGCGAGTTTCAGGTTCTAAAGAGGTGAAAATTGATGTCAATTCAAGAATACAAGCAGAGGTTCATTGGGGTCAATTGGTGAAGGAAGAAGTGCAGGGCTGGCTTCAAGATACTCAAAAGATCAACGATGACATGCAAGTTGTTGAAGAAATGGTGTGCAGAGTTTCATACTTCTCACGTGCCTGTCTTGGTAAACTTGTTCGTGAAAAAATTGAAGTGGTTAAGAGAATGAAAGAGAGGGGCAGCTTCTTTGAAGGCCTTTCAGTTGATAGAGCTCCGGCTTCTGGAATCATAATTCCAACGGAGAATCTAGAGGATGAAATTTCTACTAAAGAAAAAATTGGGGAGCACTTGATGGGTGATGATGTTGGAATGATTGGAGTTTATGGGATTGGTGGAGTTGGGAAGACTACCATCATGAAGCATGTAAATAATGATTTATTGAAGGAGACCAAGTTTCATAAAGTTGCTTGGGTTACAGTATCATACCCTTTCAATGTTTTTTAATTACAAAAGTTTAAATTTTTTATTTTTATAAAAATAAAATTATTATTAAATTATTTAAATCATTCACATTAATAATTTTTTTGAGTGATACTGATACTAAGTTAAAGCTTCAGTACTTTAGCTTCCGTTCAAAAAAAAAAAAAAAATGGTTAAAGCTTCAGTACAATACTGGCAATCATAGGGGACAAAAGTTATAGATGCAATTGTTATTTGCACCAACAATTTTAAGAACCATTTCTCCTTATTCGTAAGAAATCTTACCCTTAAGCTACAATGTGGACTTAAAAAAACTTCAATCACATAAACCAGTACACAAAATCTTAAAAGTAAAGTTTAGAAATTTATTAAAAATAAAAGGGCTTAATCTAACAAATCATCTATTAACTTGCATATCTTTTTCAGTTTCATCTATTATCCTTGGATTCTTCCAATCCTGTCTACTATCTTTCAGACTCATTTCAATTTCATCTAGTCCGTTATCTTTAACCGAAATATTCTTATTCTTCAAGAGAATAGTTACTCCTCTAATTATATTTGTTTTGATCTTTTACTCATTTAATTTATATTTATCTTAAAAATAGCTTTTATTCTTATCTTGCTAAATTTTTTAATTCTTCTAGAGCTGAAGCTCTACAAATTTTATAAACATATCTGTCCCATAGTAACTCATTAGTCCTATAGGGTATCATTCCTTCTTTAGCTATAATTTTTATTATAATCTTAATCTGTTGATCATAAAATCTTAATAACCTTCTTAATTCCATTCTTAAAACCATTTTTCTTTGGTCCTGATACTAGATTTTTCTGATAGGTTTTCGAAACCTAACTCAAACTACTACGGACTAATGAATAGCTAGTATGTTAAGCTCAGTAAATGCATAATTATATCTATTAGGCAGCTAACAAAGATAATCTTTGTTTAGCATTTTTTAATCTTTTTAGATCTTCATTTAAGTTAGCTTAGTTTGCAAAAATCCTGATTTGCAATCAAACTTTGAATATATTTTATTTCTCCTAATGCTATTGATTAGAGTTTCTTTATGTGGTAATAAGTAACCATCAAATTTAGTCTTGCTATTAAGTTGTTTGTAGTTGACAATCATTCTAGCTTTCCCTCTTTTTAATTCATTATGATTTCTTACCACAAAGGCAGGACTACTATGCGGACTCTTAGAGGCATGTATGATCTTCTGGGCTATTAATTCTTGAATTTTCTTATCAAATTCTTCTCTATCTTCAGGGCTATACCTCATTGGTTTAACTCTAATGATAGTTTTTAGGTCTATCAATTCGATTGTGGCATAAGATTTGTCAACTTCCCATAGTTTGGTTAGATCTTCTCCGTAATTACTTCTTAGTTCTTCTAAGATTGATTCTAGGGTTATTTGTTCTTATGTTTTTTCATTATTCCACAATACTAACACTGGTTTTTTAATTTCTTTTGATTGGGTTTTTCTATTATCCTCACCACGATGGTTGCAAAAATTTAATGGTTCTATTGTTCTACTATAAGCATTATAGATTCTAGGGGCATAAAACCAATGTCCACAAGGTGTATAAAATTTTACATATGATGCAGTTCGAACATACTACTTGAATTGACTTAGGAAATTATTTCCTAATAAAATGTCATTCCCATGCTCGTTACTTTTGTAGACTCAGGAAATTATTACTTCAGTTCCACCAATTATGACAGTAACTCTTTTTATTATTTTTTTTTATATTGAATGACACTTTCATCTATGGCTACACCTTTCATAGCTTGAGATGTGCTCTTCCAATAATACTTTGGGAATACATCAGTTTTGGCCACACATATCCTAGATCCTATGTCTATAAAAGCATGAAAAAATTTTGTTTTGTATTCTTCATACTTGATTCTAATGGATATGTATACACTATAAATACTAGTTTTCATAGTATATAGGTATAACCACTTCTTTTCCACTTAAGATAATCTTCAAACAATGTTCTTGGATATTATATGGCTGTAAATGGCTGTACCGATGTTAAGAATGTGTTTTCTAGTATTAATTCTATACTTGCAATCATTTATGTTTCAGCATTAACTGTTATAGTGATTTTATGTTGAATCTTATTTTTATCCTTTATTTGAAGAGGTACTCTAGCATATTCATGTACTATGGCTACTGCACCATTAAAGTTGTAATATGTATATGATGTAGTGAGTTCAAATCTTTGTAGGTGTGGAATCATATCGTTAGGGATATGTGTTACTCCTGCTCCTATATCTATTAGGATAGAAATGTTATGCCATTCCTTTCCATCATAATAATCTCCTTTTATTTTGAAATATTTAGAAGGAATCTTAAGGTGTCTAACACCACCTCATGTTTTATACTAGTCATTTTGGTTAAGATCTCTTTATCTTTCTTAGGATAGCATAGAGCTCCCAAGTCTATATTA